TGTAGTAAATGCTAATTTTATTTTCTTACGAAATCACATATGTTACCAGACTTACTGTGGTGATCATTTTGCAATATATATAAATCTTGAATCATTATGCTATATACCTGAAACTAATGTTAAATGTCAATTATACCTCAGTTAAAACCATAAACAAACGTTAGTTTTTTGTTATTAAAAATCAGACACGTTTGAAAAAGTGATGTTAGCAGTATCTCATTCCATTTTAAAAGTGCAAAATTTATCTGGAGGGGGTCTGGCTTGTATTGGTGGGATTGTAATTTCTGCTTCACACTTGAGTTGCCTCTTATTAGATCCACATCTGGTTCCTTCTTCAATGGATAGAGTGACAGTGTATGGAAACATGATTCTTAGTGCAAGTAGCCCTTATTTCTTAAATATAATTTTATTTTATCTTGTACAGGTCAGTTATACAGAGACAAAGCAGAACATATTTTATAATTCAAACAATGTAAATGATTATTGAAACCACTTGGTGATTAGTTGCTGTTTTAGTCTGCTAAGGGGAAGAAAAAGAGTACCTGACTCGGGAGGGATCAGAATTCAATATAATGTTTTATTGAAAGTTAAGGTTGTAAATGCTAGAGTATGTTAATAAGAAAAATGCAGGGGCGCCTCGGTGGCTCAGTCGGTTGAACGTCCAACTTGGACTCAGGTCATGATCTCGCAGCTCGTGAGTTCGAGCCCCGCGTCAGGCTTTGCGCTGACAGCTCGGAGCCCTGGAGCCTGCTTCAGATTCTGTGCCTCCCTCTCTCTCTGCCCCAACCCACTCACATTCTGTCTCTGTCTCTCTCAAAAATAAATAAACATTTTTTAAAAATTTAAGAAAAGGCAGAGTGCATTTGGAGAGCTCTTTACCAATAGGGTAGGTTCTTAAGTTTAAAATCATTTGTCTGCATCTCTTTGTGATAATTTTAAACAACCTCTCTCATGCCAAGCACTATGTTTGTTGCTTTCGCTTTATCATTTCAGAATGACCCTGGAAAGTTTGCAAGGGGATTAGTGGATTAGATACTTTTTTTTTTTTTAATTTTTAATTTTTTTTCAACGTTTATTTATTTTTGGGACAGAGAGAGACAGAGCATGAACGGGGGAGGGGCAGAGAGAGAGGGAGACACAGAATTGGAAACAGGCTCCAGGCTCTGAGCCATCAGCCCAGAGCCCGACGCGGGGCTCGAACTCACGGACCTCGAGATCGTGACCTGGCTGAAGTCGGAGGCTTAACCGACTGCGCCACCCAGGCGCCCCGGATTAGATACTTTTAAAACATTATTTTTAAGTTTAAAATGGCTTCTCTAGGGGCGCCTGGGTGGCGCAGTCGGTTAAGCATCCTACTTCAGCCAGGTCACTATCTCGCGGTCCGTGGGTTCGAGCCCCGCGTCGGGCTCTGGGCTGATGGCTCAGAGCCTGGAGCCTGTTTCCGATTCTGTGTCTCCCTCTCTCTCTGCCCCTCCCCCGTTCATGCTCTGTCTCTCTCTGTCCCAAAAATAAATAAACGTTGAAAAAAAAAATTTTTTTTAATAAATAAATAAAAATAAATAAAATGGCTTCTCTATATAGGTTCTTCCCTCTGGGCCCCCACCCCCTCCCTACGCTGAACATCTCCTGTTGTAGCATGTAACGTTGCTTTCCACTGTGGAATTCAAAGGTGAGATTGTTGTTTTCCACAAGAATGGACAATGAGCACAGCCTGCTTCTTACATTTATAATTCCTAGAAGAGGTGAAGTTCTTCTTCTTCATCTGCTCCTAGCTAAGCGTTGCGGGGTTGGGGAGAGCCAGCCGGACGGGGTCACCTTTCTTCAACTTACCTTGGTGGTGCCAGCAATGTGGAAGACTGTGATGCAAAGCTGCTTCATGCAGTGGGTGGGAAGGAATTTACAATACTTGTTTCATGCCTCACAGGAAGTACATGCTTTTGTGGCTATTGCATCCGAATGACATGTTTCAGGTAAAAGGTGCGGAGAGATTGTAAATGTCAGTCTTCATGGCATGTCTGAGCATAGCACGTCAAGTGGGAGAGTTTAAAATTTCCTCCAGATTGTGGGTGATCCACTTGGGCAACATGAGGAAGTGAAGATCCCCATCCATGTGGCAAGTCCCTCCACACCACATTCTGTAATATTCCCAATGGCAGGAAAATCCTGTGTCTTCCTTTCTCTCATCCTGCCTTCACTTAAGGATTCTTATCAGTCAGTCGAAGATTATGAATGTCTCAGCCAAGAAGTGCTATGGCTGGATGTGTAAGGGACATTCTGAAGACCAATGTGACCATAAACATAGCACAGTTGATTTTCCTTTTACTTATTAAGTTTTCATTAGATATATCCAGGCACTGAATATCTTACCATACAAATTGCTTAGGGACCTTCCAGTTGGGAAGTCTGTCATGATATGGCACGTTGGACTAGGAAGCCCATTCCAGCTTAAAATCTTTCCATTTGTTAGAAAACTGCACAATGAGTTGTAATGTTGTTCTTTTAGTTTCCATTCTCCCATGGTGTTTTTGCCCTCTGGAAATGAAAACAGTAAATCTAGTCTTATTTTAATACCAGCTTTCATGTATTCGGGGGCATGAAGGAGGGTAGAAAACAGACTTCTGTTTTTACCCACGTCTTGTTTTTCTCACTAAATATCCAGAGCAAGCTCATTCAATATAAAGTTTTCCAAGCCCTCTTTAGTAAAGACTCCATTTGAAATTTAGAAATGGGGAATAGACATGATGTGTCGGGATGTGGTCTGAGCAGTGCTACTAACATTGATAGAACAGACTGCAGTTACAGTAATTGTTTAGAAGCCAGTCACCTTTTTTAAGAATTTTTTAAAAATGTTTATTTATTTTTGAAAGAGACAGAGCATGAGCGGGGGAGGGCAGACAGAGAGGGAGACACAGAATCCGAAGCAGGCTCCAGGCTCCGAGCTATCAGCACAGAGCCCAATGTGGGGCTCAGACTCGTGAACCATGAGATCATGACCTGAGCCTAAGTCAGATGCTGACCTGACTGGGCCACCCAGGCGCCCCCAACCACTCATCTTTTTGACTTATAACTGAACTATGATTCATCTGGGCATGTGGAATTCTACTCGTACCGGGATTCTTGATTATTTTGATAACTGCAAAGTGACACTGATATGTTGCTTTGATGAGTAAAGGTTCATAGGACTTCATAGGAACGGCTGTCTGTGTTACACCAGCCCATGATTTTATGTTTAGTAGCGATGGCATGTCTCTTAACAAGAAAAGATTGCCTTATGTGCTCCCTCACACACACATGCACAGTAATTCAGCAGATATTGATTATGTCTCATATGCCAAACACTGCAATGAACTAGTAATAGAGAGCTATATAAAATAGATACATATAAGATACATATAAATGCTTATAAGATGGATCTATATAGGATAGATACAGTTTACTGGGAGAGGCAAATTCTTGTACAGATGATTCCATACCTTTTTCTTACTCATCAAATTCAGTGCTGAGAATTACCCGTGAACTTATTTTAACCTTTTGGAAAGCTCCTTCTGGTTTGTTTTTTTCCATCTTCTGAAACCAAACAGAAAACAAAGCCAGTAATCTATAGCATTTTGTGTTGCTTCTAAAAATGCCGTCTTCACCTTTTAAGAGACGTATCTGAGTTCTGGTCTATTTGAAGATATTGGAAAGGTTCACTCTAACTATATTCTATGGTAACTGATATGATAATAATAGCACTATTTTATAATTATGCAGCAATCTTCAAAACATTTTCTCAATTGGTTCTCAAGACAGTCTAAAATTACATTATTCATAACTAATGGCAGGGATAGTATAGAGAATGTATTTCTATACAACAGAATTATAGTCCCTGGAGAGATACCTTTTAATACCCCTTTTTCTCTTTGGATATTAATCACTCTCTTTTCCATTAGACTAAAATTGGCTCATTGGCAGGATAGAGTCCTCCCAGAAATTTGGTTAGCTCACAGAGTGTTGGAAAATGAAAACCTGAGCCCCACCTCCCATTTGTAGATGTTTCTTGAGCTAACCACAGTTGGCTGGCCCCTGGTCCTGCTGCCACCTTGGATAGGTGTTCTGTCTCCAGTCTATGACAGCCCACATTTGTCACAAATGCACACGTGTGAATTTTCACCCAGGCTTTCTTTAACCTCCTGACCACTTCTGCTTCTGTCTGGAGGCCCGGGGACAGTTCCTGAATAACAGGCACAATATCTTCATAGTTTTTTAGGACTCAGGCAATTTTTCAAAAATGTTTTATTATTTTGAGAGAGAGGAGGTGTGAAGTGCACACACACACATGGGAGAGGGAGAGAGAGAGAATCCCAAGCAGGCTCTGCGTGGTCAGTGCAGAACCCAACATGGGGCTCGACCCTGTGAGCCCCGTGAGATCATGACCTGAGCCACTGAACACTTAGGGGCACCTGGGAGGCTCAGTCAGTTAGGTGTCCGAGGCTGAGGTCATGCTCTCACGGTTCATGGGTTCGAGCCCCACGTCGGGCTCTGTGCTGACAGCTCAGAGCCTGGAGCCTGCTTAGGATTCTGTGTCTCCCTTTGTCTCTGCTCCGCCCCCACTCATGCTCTGTCTCTCTCTCAAAAATAAGTAAGCATTAAAAAAAAAAAAAAAAAAGTCGGACACTTAACCGACTAGCTACCCAGGTGCCCCTAGAGCTCAGGCAATTTTTGTGTCTCATCCATAATGACTGCAGAATTCAACTACCTCCTTTTAGTGAAGGAGGAAAACAACTATGCAGAAGCAATTCTTATGTTTACTAAAGTGACTGATTAAATAGACTTATATCATGAAAAATAGCAAAAACATGTATTTATTGAAGTACATCCATGAAGCTATGTTACTTTTATTTTTAGGACTCTTTTAGGTTAAAAACAATCTGGCACTCAAAAATGGTTTTGACTTTGTTTGCATTATATATAATACACATCCATTTTATGCCCGAATCTGATGAATGTATCTGTTCTAGGTCACTGAAATGTTTCTGGAAATGTCTCTTGAAGTTTGGTAAGTGCATTTATTTCATTGGGTGGAAAATATTGTGAGTGATTCACTATCTTATTTTAATTGTTAAGGGTCCACTTTTAAAATAAGAAATAATTCTGAGAGCTTTTGAACATAAAAAACACATTAAATAATTTTTTCTTTAGCTCTTCCCTAATAGCTATGGCATTAAAAAATAATAAATTTTGTATCTTTGCTTACTTTTCCCGGTAGTTTTTATCAGGTCAATAAGGGCTTTTAGAAAGAGTCCTCCCTCTGGTTTACCTCCCGTAGAAATGAACAAATATGGTTAGTTAAACCTCTTTTTCATTGTTGATTCAGATAGATACTCAAGAACATGAAAGTAAACATAAACAGGAAACTATAAAAAGGAAAAACTGAAAATGAGATTGTTTTTGTTCACAGAGATAGTAAAGTTCCATGAAGCACGTTGCTGTTTCAAAGTGGCCTCCAAAAGAAATGTTGGAAAATCATTTATTTATTTTCAAATGGTGCATCTTAGGGGAGTTAGGCCTGCCTGGAGAATTAGCTGGATCTAACGCTGAGTTCAGTACATCCAACCTCCTTCAAACTCTCTGTGTCTCCTTGAACTTCCCTGTTGAAGTGGGTTTTACCGAAGTAACTAGTCACATTTAATTCACCCAAACGCTGCATTTATTAGTGTAACATTCTCCTATATTGTGATTTGCCGAATGAATGCTGAGGGACACGTTGACATTGGGCTCAGTATTTCTTTCTCTTATTTAGGTTCCTAGAACACGTTGATTCAACCTTGTAAATTATTGCATAAATTACTACTTGTCCCTCAAGATATGTCAGGAAGTCTCATAGGATAGTGCAAGTAATTGAATTGCATTATTTTGCATTGTGTTGATTCTTGCCAAAATGGTATATTTTAGGGGCACCTGGGTGGCTCGGTCAGTTGAGCATCCTACTCTTGATTTCAGCTCAGGTCACGATCCCAGGGTCTTGGCATTGAGCCCCACATTGTGAAGCCTGCTTAAGATCCTCTCTCTCCCTCTCCCTCTCTCCTCCCTCCCACCCCCCTCGCCCCTCTCTCCCACTCAGGCTTTCTCTTTCTCTGTCTAAAATTTTTTAAAATGTGGTATAACATGAGATTTTAGCATGAGATTAAAAGAACTTTTGCTATTTGACTAGAAAGTCACGCTATTTGTCTTAATGGGAAATGGTCTTCACTGATGTAATTAGGACTATATTATGTAAAAGAAATTTGCTTTAACAAAGTACAGATATCAAAAAATGGAGGAAAAAAACTCAGCTAAATAAGATACATATGTTCAGAAGCAATTTACTATATATTTATAATGAACTTTGATCAAACTATTTTTATCTGTTCATTTGTCTTGACTCTGAAATGGAAATGTTCTTAGAAATTATTATTATTATTATTATTATTTTAAATGCTTATTTATTTTTGAGAGAGAGAGAGGCGGAACATGAGAGGGAGGGGCAGAGAGACACAGAATGCAAAGCAGGCTCCAGGCTCCGAGCCATCAGCACAGAGCCCCACGCAGGCTCAAACCCACGAACCCGTGAGATCATGACCTGACCCGAAGTTGGCTGCCCAACCAACTGAGCCACCCAAGCACCCCTTTAGAAATTATTTTTTTAAGTGTATTTCTTTCTTTTGAGAGAAACAGAGACAGCACACGTGGGGGAGGGGCAGAGAGAGAGGGAGAGAGAGAGAATCCTAAGATTCCACTGGCAGCACAGAGCCTGATGTGGGGCTCAAATCCACGAAGCTGCGATATCATGACCTGAGCCAAAAGCAAGAGTTGGACACTTAACCAACTGAGCCATCCAGGTGCCCCAGAAATGTTCTTTAAAGAAAAATTTAACTTTCTGTGGAATGTTTTTCATTAGATATAAAATAAAATCAAGAAATCAAATTAAACAAAGATAATATGTAAAAGAGGAAAATAAATGAACCAAACTTGTTATTGTATTTATAAAATTACTCAACATTTTTTTATTTTTCTTTTACATGTTTGTACTGATCTTCTAAATATCTGTGTTCATCGCTCTGTTCATAGGTTTTTTGAAAAATCATGGCCCTTGTGTTTAATGTAGGATAGTGATCAGCATAGTATGTTACAAGTATATTACCTAGTATATTACAGGGAACAGGAGTTCCAGAATGAGAAATCCTAGTTTTAAATCAGCCTCTTGCTAATTGTGTTAACAGTTGAAACATTTTTAATGACACTTTTGCTCATTTGTGAAATAAGAAAAGAGTACTTTATAAGCATATCTGTTGTGATGATTTAATGAGATGTTCTTTAGAAAAAGAGCACATATTATTTTATATTAATACAAAGTAGAAAAATTTTCCACATGTGCACCACAAGTTCATAGTAAAAATGTTTGTAATAGTTTGCAGAAATTTGAGGCAACCTCAATATTCATGGAATAACTTATGCTATAATCATATAATGGAGATACTTCACAATAGTAAAAATGTTTGAATTGTTCCTATATATACAAACACAGATGAATCTTAAAAACAAAATGGTCAATGGAAAAAATATTGCAGAATACATACAGTTGATAGAATTTTTTTTTAATTTTTTTCAACGTTTTTTATTTATTTTTGGGACAGAGAGAGACAGAGCATGAACGGGGGAGGGGCAGAGAGAGAGGGAGACACAGAATCGGAAACAGGCTCCAGGCTCTGAGCCATCAGCCCAGAGCCTGACGCGGGGCTCGAACTCACGGACCGCGAGATCGTGACCTGGCTGAAGTCGGACGCTTAACCGACTGCGCCACCCAGGCGCCCTACAGTTGATAGAATTTATAAAAAAATTAAAAACATACAAAATGACTCTATGTATTTTTAGAGATATAAATATATACTGTGAAGTTATAAATATTTATAATTTATAAATGTATAAATTTATAAATAATTGTAATTCATAAATGTGTAAATACATTGGAATAATAAAGAGCAAGTTTAAGGTAGTGATTACTCTGAGGAGCAGAAAAGGAAATACATTTGAGATGGATTCACAGAGACAACTGTGCAGGTGAGATTTTTATTTCTCAAAGTGGTTAGAAGATACTCAACCTAATATATTGTAATAAATAATAATAGGGAGTCTACCCCTAAGACTTGACTTAAAAAATTCTTACTGATTCACTCGTAACTCTTTTCCTCCTTGGAAAACTTCATAATAATCAAATTTAATAACTGTGCAATCCAATGCTTTGATGTGCTATACTGATCATTTTTTATTATTGGGCAATATGGCTAAGCGCTCTTTTCAAAATTTACAGTTAATTTTCTGTTTTTTAAAGTTTATTTATTTTGCGGGGAGAGGGGCAGAGGGAGAGGGAGAGAGAAAATCCCAAGCAGGCTCTGCACTGTCAGCATGAACCTGACTTAAGGCTACGTCTCATGAACCATGATATCATGACCCGAGCCAAGATCAAGAGTAGGATGCTTAACTGAGTAAGCCACCCAGGTGTCCCTACAGTTAGTTTTCTTAAAGCACATATCCAAAAATAGAACTACTCAAAGGGAATATACATTTTAATTATTTTTGGTGCTCATCACTTGATGACTTTCAAAAGTGTTTTGCAAATTTATATTTTCAAAATGAATATATTTACTTTGTACTAGAAAATAAATACTTAAAATATTTTTTAAAAACTGTTAAATAATAACAGTATTTTAAAAATTTGCTAGTGAAGCTAAGTATTCTTCTGTTTTTCATTATTAATCATACTTCCTCTTTTGTGAGTTATCCATGTTTGTCCTTTGGGAAATAGTAATTAAAATATTATTGGTAAACAAAGATCATTATAGAGTACATAGCCCAGAGCCTATGGAGTCTCTTCTTTTGGCCTATGTTTTACGAGGAATAAATGCACTGAATTAACAGAAGTTTCCTTAATTTTAATTCACTCTGAAGGGAAGGACTTACTTTTATGAATGGTAAAGAGACAATATTTTATCAGCGAAATTCTTACTTTCTACATTTGGATTTATTCGCATCACAACATAGAGGTCTATGTTTTCTTGTTCTGTTTTGTTTTTTACTATTTTTTTTTAATTATTTATTTTGAGAGAGAGAGAAAGCGGGGAGGGGCAGAGGGAGAGAGAGAGAGAGAGAGAGAGAGAGAGAGAATCCCAAGCAGACTCCTCACTGTCAGTGCAGAGCCCAACATGGGACTTTATCCCATGAACCGTGAGATCATGACCTGAGCCAAAATCAAAAACCTGTTGCTTAACCGACTAAGCCACCCAAGTGCTCCTGCTTTTTACTATTTTTAAATTCAGAAGCTGGTTTTAGAATACAATATTGGACTTGTTTGTGAGGAATTGTTGCATTGAGGAAAATACATCATCTATTTGCTCTGTGATCCTAACCTCTCAGAGCTTTGGTTTTTTTAATTTGTAATAGGTAGTTAGAAAAATAATATATTGTATAATAACGTGTGAGATTTACTCCCATTATTTCTGCAGTGATACATGCCTACATATCTAAAGTGGTTTCTGGCATAGTCTAGGGATCTGAGAAGTTGCCGCCGCTGCTATTATTAGGAAGGGTATACAATGTAAGAGCTCTGAAATCCTCCAGTCAAACTTGTCGCTGTCTGAAGTTCTAGCATTAGCAGTGCCTTTTTTTTTTTTGTCACACGGGGACATCTCTTAGACAAGGCAATTCATTAAGACAGTATTTCTGCCGGTATGCTCCATAGAACATAGACTCTTTGGAATATCAGTGGTATGTCATGGAGAAGTGGGGAACGAAGGGCCAGGGGAAGGAATTCTTGATCAAATAAATTTGGGAAATACTGTGCCAAATAGATCTCAGCAGCTTTATTTTCTGAAATATTTCCCGAAGTCTTTACTATCATAAGATGAATTTCTCATTGGCCGTTTGTGTGCCTGCTTGTTTTTTCTAAAGCATCTCCTACTCCATATTTTCTGGAAACACACCTTGGAACATACAGTTTTAAGACAGCCATCATTTTATACCCTTGTTCAGCTCCCCTTCTAGGAAATGGCTTGAGGGGAACAGTGAGCAGGTATCAGCGTTAGCTACCGGGGACTGGGTGATTTTAACAAGGCTAGTGGGGACATTGGCTCATGACTATGTTCTCTATACAGTTCATCCCCAGACCTCCGATTCAGTATGGCTCTGTGTGATCAGGAGAAGACTTTCAGACAACAGAGGAAAGAAAACATAAAGGAAAACATGAAGAAACTCCTGGGTCCAGAGAAGAGTAGAGGCCTGTATTCTACGCGCGATGTGAGTTGGAAAATTTTCAAATGTTAATGCAATTCAATAATAATTGTGTTTGTACCGCCTCCCAAATTTCACCCAAGTATGGAAATATTGAGTTTGAGCATTATATCTTCAGTTTTTTAAGATGAGGTAAGTGTTTCATAAATAAAGATTCTTTGAGGAAGATCATCACAAATGCTGCCCATATTTAGCAATATTGATCAGGTACAGTTTTACAAAGAGGCGTAGGCATACTTACACACAAACAAGCTATTGATAGTAAGAAAAGATTAGCCTCAGATGTAAAAAGATCATTGAATTAATTTTATTTTATTTTTATTATTTTTTTAATTAAAGTATATTTGACACACAATGTTGCAATTAGTTTCAGGTGTACAACACAGTGTTTCAACAAGTCTCTTCATCGTGTGGTGCCCACCACAAGTGTGGCTCCCATGGGTCACCACACAACACTATTACAACACCGTTAATGATATTTTCTGTGCTGTACTTTTCATCTCTGTGATTTATTCATCCCATAACCGTAATTCTGTATCTCCCACTCCCTTCGCCCATTTTGGCCATCGCTCTAGCTCCCTCCGCTCTGGGATCATTGAATTAACTTTAATATGGACTAAGATTAAACAATTGTGAGATTTATCATCACCAAACAAGAAGAAAGTGCTACAAGTCTTGTCAATGATAACACAGTTTACCCAACTACGTAGATGTGAATGGGAGAGATAAAAGGAAATGTTTCAAATTCTTAATATTTCATCACAGGAAGCTAAGTCTATCATCCCAGATTGACCAAAGAGTTAAGAATGATGACCTCTACTTTTTAATGTTTTCATCATCCTAATGATAGAGAGATCTTAAAATTAAAATATTTTTGGAAACAAATATAGGAAGTACAATCCTTCATTTGTACTTTAACTTCTTTTTCTTCCCTTAATTTCCAGGAAAATAAATATCATTTATTGTTCAATAACATGATTGTGTAAACCAGTTTTTGGCTATTTGTCTGTCCATTTATTCATTTTTCCCTTCACTGATCTATCATCTATCTACCCATCCATCCACCTGTCCATCCATTTATTGGTCTATCCTTTTATTAAATGCATAAGTAACGCATAAGTAAGGCCTGTCCTCCCTCCCCCCATGTCCTGTTCGCTCTCAAACCCAAGCTTAAAAAACCTTTCCTGCTCTTAGGATTGGCTTCTTGGCATCTTTCTAGCATCCATTTTTGCCAGTTCACCCCCAGTTCACCACACTCCTTCACTAGGTGCCTCTTGGTCCCATGTCCCCTCAGAACCTTTCCCCATGTGGTGCTTTTCCACACAGCTTCTTCTCTCTCTGTGTGCTTCCCTCCTCTCCTCTCCTCTCTGTGCTTCCCTGTGCCACCCTGTCCCCGCCCCACCGCCTTTTGGGGTACCTAGGACCCTCCCAACTTTAAGCACCACATACTTAGCTTCTTCTGAGGCTGTTGTCCTCACCAGCTCCTCTCTCCCTCCCCCCACATCTGTTAGATCTCAGTTATATTCTCTATATTAATGGCACCAGTATATGCACATTATCTTTTTAGCATTTACAACACGTATACTTAAAAAATACTTGTACAGATATTCGTTTAATGTCTCTTCTCTCCAGTGGAATAGAAGTTACATGAAGACCAGGGCAGTGGCTGTGTTATTTAACCTTCATATTCTCAGCACCTGGCAAAGGCTCCTTAGCACACGGTAGACCCTCAGTAAGTCTTGTGTTGTAGGAGTCAGGGCACAGATTCAGGAGGTAGCTTCGCACTGCCTCCAGGGGATGAAGTAGCTAGAGGGAGGGATCAGAGACTCCGAACCCAGGAACACAGAATCAGGTCGTGAGGCAGGAGACACAGGTGGAGGAGAAGGTTTGGAGGAAAAGATCCCAGCTTGAACTGTTCAATTAGAAACGTATGTGTGCGGGGGCGGGGTGCCTGGCTCAGTTGGTCCAGCGTCTGACTTTGGCTCGGGTCATGATCTCACAGGTCAAGAATTCAAGCCCTGCATTGGGCTCTCTGCTGTCAGCACAGAGTTCGCTTCAGATCCTCTGTCCCCCTCTCTCTGCCCCTCGGCACTCCTCTTTTTGTGGAAAAAGGAGTGTCCCTGGGAAAATGAAACTTGGCCTAATATTCATACTAATTGGCTTTTCTGCAATGGATGGAGAATAAAGTAATTATGTGTTCTGTGGAATTTTCTTCAAAAATATTAAATCCGTGTTTTTGGAAGTCGTTCCTGGAATTATTGTAGTTGTTTCGGTTCGGTCTAGAGTTGTTTTCTCTTGTCCAGAATAATTAGATTAGATATATTCAGAACCACCCATCCCCACAAGTAATGTTTTCCTGTTTTTTAAAAAATTTTCTTCATTTTTGAGAGAGAAGGAGCATGAGCAGGGGAGGGGCAGAGAGGGTGGGAAGATAGAGGATTCGAAGTACGTTCTGCACTGACAGCAGTGAGCCCGACATGGGGCTGGAACTCATGAACCGTAAGATCATGACCTGAGCTGAAGTCAGATGCTTAACCAACTGAGCCATCCAGGCGTCCCTTTCCTATTTTTATATTATTCCTTGGTGAGAAGGGTGTCTTAAGTTCCCAATTCCCTTGCTCTCTGATAAGACTTCACTTTCTGTTCAGTTCTTAATTCTCAATGCAGAGACTGTGCTCGTCTTATTCAAGTGTTCAAGAGACAGCATCCAGTTTAGGACTTCGGTGTCAAATTGAAATGTCAAATAAATTAGAGCAGCATAAACTTGGGCACAGTCCTTCACTTCTGTGCTTCACCTGTAAAATGGAGCCTGGGGCTTTTATTAGGTCACAGGATGAGTACTGCTGCTTATAAGCCTCCAGCACAATGTGTAAGAGCATGTAGTAGTTGCTCAAAAAAATAGTATTGTACCTGAGTGTGGCTCTTCTGTTGCATAACACCCGAGGGCAATAATTGTCAAATTTAATAAAATCTGAGCTTTTCCATCTGGACAATGAGTTAGTCAAAGAGCTGAGGCATCTAATAACTCAAGAGTTTATTCTCTTAAATACTAAGACCTTAAAAAATGTATTCTCAATAATTAAAAAAAAGTTTTGAAATGTATTGATTTTAATCATTTAGCTGGAAGTCTTTCTAAAGTGACAGGTCATTCCTCGTCCTGACTGAATGGATTTGAGTGTTCTCAGGTCTGTCTCCTTTCCAATCGGCTGCCATCTCTCCCTGCCTTATGTGCTCCCTTGAGGTAGTTTCTTCAAACCACTCCTTTCCCTTTCAACTTTGCTGTTGTGGAATTCAAATCTGATAAGCAGGCTTGTTGTTAGAACAGTGTCTCTGACTAGTGTGATTTCTTTATGAATAAAGGCCTGAGATCTTTCCTATGACTAAGACCTGCAAGCCTCTGTACGTGGGGATTTTTGGCATAGTTGGATCATTCAGAGGCCATTCTTATGAATTTTCTGGTCTGAAAATACTTCTTGGTCAGATGAAGTTCCCAGATTATAGTCTTCTGTGAAGGGAAATGCTACTCACTAGTTTTTATGTTCCCTAGTAACTGACCATAACAAAGCAAAGCTGGTTAGGGGACTAGAGTCTGGAACTATAATAGTGGGAAAGCAAGAGAAAGTAATTTACTTTCACCTGCATCAGAGAATAAAGAGAAAGTGTTTTGTCCCAAGGCACAATTTACGAGATACTTTCAATTTAAACAAATATCTTTTGATGAAAATCAAAATGGACCTTGAGTAATATATTCTGTGAGTGCTATTCTTACTTAAGTTTGTCATATAAAGGAAGTGAAAGACTAGAGAAAAGAGTCCATTTGGTGACAGAGAAAGAAGCAAAGCAAAACAGTTTCTGAGGGAGGTAATAGAAGTCAACCTTGAGTAGTCAATAAGAATTCTTATTCCTCGTTTGTGTTGTTTCTGTCATCTAGAATATTCTTCCTCTTGCTTCCTCCTTTCCTGGTGACAACAGCACTTTGTACTCTCAATTCCTATTCCCCTCCCAGACTGCAAGTATCACAGGGAAGACAGTGTGAAACTCCCAAGGGTAGAGGCCAGAAAGGAGCACTGAGCGGGTGTGAGCTTCCGGAGACTCACAAGGTGGAGTTGGAGTTTTTCTCCTCTGAGGTAGTGGTGGGATGTGAACAGCCAAAGGAATAAGAGACCTGGAAGTTGGTCTAGAAAGTAGATGTCCAAGCGGCCCAGACTGCACTCAGGAGGGTTGTCCACTATGAGGCAGGTGACTCCTGCAGACCACAGAGCTCTCAGGGAGACAGGCTCAGGGGGAGGCACGTAAGAACACATGTGTCAGGGGGCGCCTGGGTGGCGCAGTCGGTTAAGCGTCCGACTTCAGCCAGGTCGCGATCTCGCGGTCCGTGAGTTCGAGCCCCGCGTCAGGCTCTGGGCTGATGGCTCAGAGCCTGGAGCCTGTTTCCGATTCTGTGTCTCCCTCTCTCTCTGCCCCTCCCCCGTTCATGCTCTGTCTCTCTCTGTCCCAAAAATAAATAAACATTGAAAAAAAAATTAAAAAAAAAAAAAAGAACACATGTGTCAGGAGCAAGGAAGGAGGAGGCCTATGGGGACAGGTGCTGGATTTGCTGCAGTTTTCAGTGATTTGTTTTATAAATCAGGCATTATGTGAGGAAGCTTACTGGGCTTGAAGGGCCAGTGGCCCGATGAAAACAAAATGCTAGTAACAATAATATATTTTAATTTAACGTAAACTCACTTTTTAAATTTTACATGTGAAATTATGGCTGTGCTGGGGGAAAAAAATGTAAATACGTTGAAACGAGATCATATACACTATTTTTTGTACGTTTCATGAAGCAAACCAAGCCAGTGAGCTCCTTCTCTTTGTGTACAAAGATGTTGCCTAAGTTTCTGACCAGAAATGGACTGGGCAGCACCTTGGGAGGGCTGGTACTGGGCACAGGGTGGTGGGGAGGCAATGCACACTGCAGGGATTAGCATTTACACAAGTCCGGGCAGCCATGTCTGCTCCTA